GCTATTCATACATGTGGTGGAAAAGTCATGCCTCTCTTCAAATTCAGCACAGCAAATGACAGTAATTTTTTTATCTGTAATTTCACACTGTACTGATAGTGCTGATAATACTACCAGATACTTTTATTACACAGTAAACCATGTTTGTTAAATGTTGCTTTTCCTCCCCTCAGTCTCTTCACACACTTCAATGTCTGTAAAATACACGCAGCTCTCTTTAGAATTCAGGTACCTGCATATAATAATTATGTTCTCTTGTTATACTTTGGCTGCAGATTTTTAGAATGAATCTTCTGATCTTTAGAAAATTCCCTCTTTTTTCATCTGCCAATTCTGCAACCTGCTGTTTAAAGTCTATAGCTGAGGTTTTTCCAGGCTCAGACATCTATCATCATAAAAATATTGCTAAATGAGTTTAATTAATACACTTAATTAATTATACTTAAAAAGTATAGCAGAAATATGTATGTTTAGGGGTATCTCTTGTCCATACCTAGTGACAAAGCTAACCTTTGGCATTTTGGGGCTTGTGTGAGATGAGTGAAAAATTTTTTAATTATCAGTACAGATAATCAGTGGTTGTTTATAGCTTAATAAACACCCATTCAGCTGGTAAAGGTCAAGGCCTTTTTTGATTCAGACACATAGCAGTTTTTCCAACATATTTTGTCCTTACAGAAGGATTATTCAATTGCTCTTTTAAAATTAGTTTTCATGACATATAATACAGTATCTCTGAAAAGTGGCAGTTATTTATAACTGCCTTGGATAAAATAAGTCTATTCTTAGTGCAGTTCCTTATAACCATGGCCTTTCCACGCTAATACTTTCTGCTTTTTGAGCTGAGCTAGTGACTTCACCCCGGTTTAGCAGAGCTAAAGGAAGTTGTGTGGCATTAGTATCAATGTGACATAACGCAGAGCACTGCTGCTGAACACTTTTATTTGTTGTTAGTGGGCCATGTTGAGGTTTGAAAGAGGAGATTCAGTCCCTCAAAATATAACCTTTGGATCAAGCTCAGCCTACAGGTGATATGGGTCTTGTTTGTGAAGTCTACAGTTCACTCACCTATCCTGTCCATTCCACACCTCTGTAAGGCAGTGCCCAACCCGTTCTCTTGCTTTGCAGTGCCAGGTGGCAGACACAGCCGGGGACAGTGTCATGTGTGTGCTGTCTGGATGTTACTGGCTCTGGCAGCCAGCAGGAGAGAATTGGTGGCATTGCAATTTCAACTAATTTAATTTGACTTGTCTGAAGCAAGGTAGCATTGAGTCCAGGAACATTGTCCAAGAAATTACTTAAAAGAACTTTTCATACCTTACTTCTTCTGTTATTCGTATACATTTTCTTATCCTCTCTTAAGCAGCTGACTAATCTATCAGTGTGAAGTCTTAGTGACTGCACAATACTCTTCTTCCATCTCTTTTCATGATACTGCCTTATCATATTGCCAGTAATGAGTTGAATCACTCTCAAAGTCCCACTGCCTGCATTGGCCAGCTTTCCACTGACTACAACAGGAACTCAGCCAACCTGTTTCCATGTACACACCTAAGTTTAGGAGTGATTGTATAGAGCTGAATCACATCCTTAACCTCTTAAATTCTTTCTGATGCACTTAACAGTCAGTCCTTATCTTTAATAACCTCTTTAATATACAAGCAGACTTTGTCACTTTACTTTCACCCTCTTTTCAAGTCATATATGAATATGTCGAAAAACCTCTATCCTGCACAGATTGCAGCTCAGTGTGACATCAACTAAAACCAGTGTTAGCTATTAAGCAGATTTTAAAAACAGTTTTTTCTATTTGCATTTCTGCAAAACTATAACATCTCAAAAACATCTAAATAGTTTTATTACTGTATATATAAACTGTCTCCATAAAGAAGCTGAGGCATTTAAAATGGCAAATTTGAACTACGCTTCTATAAAAATAAAAATACATGTTACCTAATCTTATATTATTAATAATTTACCTGACTAAATGTATTTCCATTTAACCAAATGCTGAACTTGCATGTTAACAGTAAACCTACAACACAGTGTAAACCAAACTTTAAGAGAAAAATGTTAGAGAGAAACAGGATATTTCACTCAAACACAGTTAGGAATTGGGAACTGGCTATTTTCAATGTGTATCTCCTGTCTTCTGAAGCAGTCATCTTGGTCCTGTTCCCCAAGCATGTCCTGAGCAAAGGACCAGGATTTTTCTGTTTTTTGTTTTGCTGACTTTCTATTGCCTATTAGCAGTAGAAACATGTTAAATTTACAAAAGAAAAATTGTATTGTTAAAGGGAAATTCTACTTTATTTTCTCTCTCTCACTAACTTAAAATACCAAGAAAAAATACCATTATCAGTTGTGCTTCATATTTTCTTAGACATTTACTTCACTTCAAGGCATTCTTCAGCTTCATCAGCCACCACATATCACTTGCATTGTAACATAAAAGAAAAACTTCAATAAAAGTGTACCATATACCTCATTTAGCTATAAAACATGTAAAGAAAATTACAAAAACCCCACATAAAAAAATTTTGTAGTTCTTTTAAGTTATCACACACAATTAATTAATTGAATTTTCAGAACATCAGTTTATAACCCTGGCTCTAAGGTAGAGACACTCATCAAACTGCAGCTTGTAGGAGCAAAGAACTCAGATTTTGTGTTCCTTGTCACACTGAGAATGCAAGGATGGCCCATGATATGATCTTGCTGGCTGATGCAACCATTTCCAAAAACCCAGAAGACACTGTCTTGCTTGGACTAAAAGAAAACTAGAACTAGAAAACTAAAATTACCAGGAACAGAAAGTCAGCAAAGAGAAAAGCAATGCCACTCTTGGTTCTGCTCCAGTAATATCCCATCTTCCTGCCTAAGTGGCCAGGAATTGGCTAGATGGCTGGGTAATAGGCGGTTTAGGAATAAAATCATTTATGGTTGCTTTTGCTTGGTTTTGTCCTCAAAATATTCAAAATAGTAGGCATTATTTCGTCTGTTTTAATTAATTTATTAAGAAATGCTTAACCAGTATTTATTTTAAAAAACTCTAAACAATGTATTTATATAACAACACCAGTAAGGTTCCATAAGAGTGTTTATATCGAAGGTAATTTTGAAAATGTGTTTGTTAGTGAGGGGAATAATAGTGACTATTCACAAATTTCAGTGCACAACTTGCAAACAGAATAATATGGTTACAGGTTATAAAATTGAGGCAAAACTCAGGAAATGGGCATGACCTGTGTTCCATTCATAAAGAAGTGATGAACTGGGGGTACTTATGGTTATCATTTCAGAAGTGCCATTGGGTTTGTTTGTTTAAACTCTTAGACCAGCTACTAGGAATAAAGTACACATTTCTAGAAGTCATGATATATTCATGGAAAGACTGAAAAGAACACATTCTTAAAAACCACTGCTATAGTAGGAGCCTCTCTGGAAAATTTCATATGCACAGTAAGATTCTGAATTAGAGTCTAAAGTTGTATGAACAGATGTGTATTCAAACTTTTAAGGAAACAGTTAAGTTTGAATGTGGGTATTCAAATCAGTTATTCCCATAAAAACATCTTGGGATAATCCTGTGAAAAATCCATCAATGCATATTTCTCTGAAAACGTGTCCTAGAGTGAACTGCTAAGGGATGCTGCTTTGTCTCTGATGACTTACAAATTCTTTCCTTACTTATGTAGCAAGATGCATCTTGCCCAGGAGACTGAAAAATCCAATTTCCCTGTAAAGAAGTATAGTTCCTAGATACCTCAACTTGCTTAGAAATACAAAATAGCAATACTACTTTTTAAAATATCTATATCTACTTGCATTGTTGTTGCTGATGTTTACTTTAAAGATAAAATCATGATAGTTGAATGATTATTTTTTACTGTAGCTTGTTATTGCATTATAGACTAATATACAGAGTCTTTGTGTGCTGCTTACATGTGCTTTCTTAAAAGTAAATAAATTATTTATATTGGCACTAACTGGTACTCATCCTAACATTACAAACTATTTTTGGAGGGGTAGACTGTTAAGTATGTTCAAAACTTAAAATGGTACAGTTTTAATATGTAAAAATATTGCACTCAGATCAAGTGTTATTTTCCTTCCCATTGCTCTAGCTGATATTAGATGCCACCTGAAGGAAAATCCCAATAAAGAGAGAAAAAAGAATTTGAACAGAGTGTTAGACAAAGAAAATAATTACAAAGAAGCTACTTTGAAAAGCAGACTTTTCCTTCTGCATGTAGAGATAATGATATTATTGCCAGCACTTCATGATTTTAATAAGTTCCACATTACTCGTAGCACCAAGACCATAGAAGATTAAAGCCAGGTTACTAGTAGCCATATGAAGCTTGAATTATACAGTCTTTAAATTGATTAAATAGTTTATGTTTCCAAGTTTTACATGTTATCTGATAGAAGATGGTATTTCTTTCTCCATTAATATTCAGGTATCCTCTACTACCAGTGAGAAAGCATTCAACAGAACAAAATTTTCATACTACCCTACATGCTTTTTATCATAAGGGCTGTTTATGTTGCCTAAACCAGTAACTACTGCTGCAAGGCATATTACATGACACCAGTCACTGGAAAGAAAACTTTGCAAAGTTTTTATCATGGTTAAAAAAAGAGCTTTTGGAAAAACATTA